ACATCATATGAATGAATAATAAAGACTATTTTGGCAGCCTTCACGAACAATGCGGCGGCTCACCTCAATTACTGAATCAACTCTAGCGAACTCATCAGCTACTAGCTCCGTCTTCACCAATAGTATCTGCATAGACATGCAGGTAAGGAGTGAGTTATATGTAAATATAACCCTGTAATTAAGATCCTCTACCCGTCACTCTGAATACCTTTGGAACAAGTATTAGAAAATACAAACACACAACGAGCATAGAAATAATATGCACATAAATAATTACTTCACAATTGATGTGTGGTTATAATTCCATAGTTTCATACATTATTTGCCTTGTATTTTATATGCTTTAATGATAAACTACACTTTAATTGTGTGTAACGAAGTCTATTTTATGTGTAGGTGAATTGGAGATGAAAGTAGAGAAGAAAGGATACTTACAAGTCGAAAGCGTGCGCGGGAGCAGTTGAATAGGAGAAGCTGGCGAAGCCAGGCTTGTAGCTGGCGAGATACCTGGAGATGCCAGGCTTGTAGCTGGCGAGATACTTGGCGACGCCAGGCTTGTAGCTAGCGAGATACCTAGCGAGGCGAGGCAGTAGGCGAGATTGAGCAGGCCTTATACCTGGCGACGCCAGGCCTGGGGCGAGGTCCACCAGGCGTTATGCCTCGCGAGGCCAGGGCTGGGCGTGTACATTCCAAACTTTGAAGACTTATTTCGTCTCCGGGTTTGACTAGGACTTGGCCTTTACGTTTAGGTCTTTTCCTACACATATAAATAGACCTAAAAAACTCTATTTTTGAGTACTTTTCTAACTGGAGGCAAGGATAGCTCGTGGAATAACCGTTGGGAGTCAGACTCATCGAATTCTACATCTCTTTGTCCTTACTTTGTAATTTAATTATGAAAAATACTTTGGATATTGTGATTATAAGTATGAGTAACTAAACTCATAAACTAGGGTTTTGATGGAACCTAGTGGAGGATGATTTTCCTGTTACGTTAATATAGATTTGCCGTAGTATTTTCTCTATTTGTTCAACTATATTATTATTGTTGTTGATTGAAGGGCCCTCAATTGACTGTGCCTATTTAGTGTGTATTACTCGGGAGAGAGGGCATATTTAGGTAGTTGTTGAACAACATCATTCCTAACGTATACGATGGATCAATACGAAGAGTTTAAAGGTAGGATTAGGGATAGCGAAATATTGGTGTGATCCGAGTGAGCCGTAATTAATGCCAGCTAGCGTAATTCGGGAGAATATGTCTAGTAAATTGTAGTAATTACTCGAGAGAGAGTTACGACAGTCAGAGTGCTCATGATCTATAGAGAAAGCTTAGGCAAATTTATAGAAAACGTAGCGGAAAAGATTCAGACAATAGGGAAAATCACAACCTTAGATCATTAATTGTTGCACTTTCATTACGTAATATTTAGTTAGTGAATATCCAAATTGTCACTTAAATATTTCTGAAGATTGATTGCGTGAGTTTGTGCGAGTCTAGTTGTTTGATAGGTTAATTCCATGTGGGATTCGACTCTGGACTTATTAGCCGGAATATATTTACAATGACTGCTTAGTCCTTTTTATAAGTCATAGTTGGGCGTGATCAAATTTTGGTGCCGTTACCGGGGAATTAACGGTGTATTAATTGCAACTAAAAGAATTGCTAGAATTCTTAGTGTAGTCAATTTTCTTTATTTTAAACCAAATACATTGAAATTTTAACGTTTGTAGTTTTGGGTGTTACAGGTGCATGCCTAGGAACTCCTCGAGAACTGGTGAATTGTTCGAAGCATTATCAGGTCCTGAGAAAGTTTTCAAGGCATTGAATCGTACAAACAAGAAGCACAAACAGCAACAGAACTCAACAGAACGAATCGAACTAGACATGGATGACATAATAGAAAATCCAAATAACAGAAATAATGTGAATGACCCGAACAATCAGGGTGTGGTGCCTCTTGTGCCAAAAGAAGCCTTGTATGATTGGGCACAACCCACAGCCAAAACTCTGACAACCGCAATTGCAGTCCCTCAAATACAAGCAGAATCATTTCAAATCACAAACAACATGCTACATTTGTTGCAGAACAAGGGATTGTTTTTAGGGTCTTACATTGAAGATCCTCAGCAGCATCTAAAAAATTTCATATCGATATATGTCACACAAAGGCAACCTAATGTGACACCGGAAGCAATAAAGCTGTTATTGTTTCCATTCTCGGTGACGGGAGAGGCTCAGACGTGGCTTAATTCACTCCCCATAAACTTCATCACTACTTGGGAGGAATTAATCAAGCAATTTGTAAACAAGTTCTACCCACCCAATAAGACTGCCAAACAAATTTATGAGATATTGAGCTTCAGGAAGAGACCAATAGAAATACTACAAGAAACGTGGGAGAGGCTCAAGTGTATGCTGGTTAAATATCCACATCATGGCATTCCAGAGCAAGTGTTGGGCCAGAGGTTCTACATGCGATTGGCAGACATCTTAAAGGCCAATGTTGATGCTTCAACAGGTGGAGCATTTTTGAGCAAAACATTCAGAGAATGTAAGATCTTATATGATAAGATGGCCCAAAACTCAGGATGGATGACAAGAGACTCTACAATCACTCCTATAGTTCATTCGGTGGCTTTGGACCCAAACAACTCCATAGCCGAAAATATGGCCACTCTAATGACGCAAATGAGTATTCTTACCAAAAAGGATCGATGAATCAGGCCAGAAGAAGCAGGTACACATAGTAGACGCAACTAATGGGGGCTTATGTATACCATGCATTAACCAACCATATGTTTGCTCGTGGAGTGCGGAAGGCGACAACCAGCACTATCAGGAAGATATGAACTATGTAGCCAACTATGGGGGGGGTAGAGGCAAGGTGGTCAGAATTGGGGGCAACATAATCAATAATATAGACCAGCACAAGAGCAGTACAATAATAGCAACAATCCTGGAGCTATGCTAGGGTCAAGTGGTGCCTTACCAAAGGCAACAAGGTTACAACCAGCAAAATCAGCAGCTGGCTTATCAACAACCTCAACAACAACAGATTATAAGACAAGATGATGGGTTCACTGAACTTAAGGGAATGCTGGACAGCAACAGCAGAATGTTGCAACAACTGATTGGGTCCTCTGGAAAAATGCAAGAGAGAGTAGACTCACATGAATCAGCGATAAAGGATATTGAGGTTCAATTAGGATAGATTTCTATGGCTCTAAACAATCATCCCCAAGGTACGTTACCTACAGACACACAAATCAATCCAAAAGATCAGGGGCCGAAACAGCTTATGACAGTGAGTCTATGAAATTGTAGAGACCTAGATTTGGAGCAAGAGATTGCCCGTGAAAGCTAACCTACTGAAATACTTGTGCCATTACCCATTGAGATCAATGATTCAACATAGTTAACTGAGGTGATGGTACAACATGCACAAGAGAGCACATGCAAAGAAAAAGAGGTTGCAAAGGAGACTGAGGTAGCACAAGAAACGACAGTAGAAGCAGTGCCTGAGCAAGATAAAACTCAAATAACAGGAAAGAAGTGACCTCCAGCATCATTCCCGTAGAGATTAGAAAAATATCATAAGGACGAGCAATATAATAAATTCATGGAGATGTTGAAACAAATACAGGTGAACATTCCACTGAATGATGCGTTGCGAGAGATGCCTGGGGATGCCAAAATGATGAAAGATTTAATGTCTCGGAAATTTGACTTCCAAGACCTATCCACTATTACATTGACACAGACCCGTAGTGCAGTCGTGACGAGACCCATAGCTGAGAAGTTATCAGACCCATGGAGTTTCACAATCCCATGCATGATAGGAAGCTATGCTTTTGCTAAAGCATTGTGTCATTTAGGGGTAAGTATAAACTTGATGCCCTTGGCTATCTACAAAAGGTTAGGCATAGGAAGAGCTAGACCCACGTCCATGTTACTACAGCTAGCTGACCGGACAGTGAAGAGGCCCTCTCGTATCCTTGATGATGTATTAGTCCAGGTTGGGAAATTTGTGTTCCCAGCAGATTTTGTCATTCTAGGCTGCCGGGTTGATGCGGAGATTCCCATAATTTTGGGAAGACCATTCTTGTCCACTGGGAGAGCTTAAATTGACTGTGAAACTGGTGAGCTCAAAATGAGACTACATGATGAAGAGATAACATTCAACGTGCAGAAATATGTGACCAAGTGAATTTGCTAATCGCTCTCTAATAGAAGTCGTGGATATAATTTTGGAGGAGGAATATGAGACCTTGAACGCTAAAGACCCTCTATCAGCCTGTTTCTTGAACTTAAATGAGGTAAATGGAGAGGATTTGGCGGAGTGGGTGCTGGCTCTTGAAGGCCAAGGGTTTTGGAAAAGAGAGCTCAAGTTTGAGCCTTTAGAAAGAAAAATTCCTCCAGCTAAGCCATTGATAGAAGAGCCACCAAAGTTGGAATTAAAACCGCTACGACCTCACCTCAGGTATACTTTCTTGGGACCTAACTCAACTTTACATGTTGTTATCTCATCTGGTTTGTTAGATTTGCAGAAAGAACAGCTTTTGCAGGTATTGAGTGAGTGAAAAACTACAATTGGTTGGACCATTATAGACATTAAGGGGATCAGCCCGACCTTCTGTATGCATAAGATTCTACTGGAAGATGGCCACAAACCTTCTAGAGAACATCAAAGAAGGCTGAACCCCAACATGAAGGGAGTTGTGAAAAAGGAAGTGATAAAGTGGTTAGATGCGGAGATCATTTTCCCCATCTCTGACAGCAACTGGATCAGCCCAGTCCAATGTGTGCCTAAGAAAGGTGGGATGACTGTAGTGCAAAACGAGAACAATGAGTTGATATCAACAAGAACAATCACGGGATGGCGAATTTGTATAGACTATACCAGACCATGGAGCATCTAAGAGAATTACAACAAACATCATATGAATGAATAATAAAGACTATTTTGGCAGCCTTCACGAACAATGCGGCGGCTCACCTCAATAACTGAATCAACTCTAGCGAACTCATCAGCTACTAGCTCCGTCTTCACCAATAGTATCTGCATAGACATGCAGGTAATGAGTGAGTTATATGTAAATATAACCCTGTAATTAAGATCCTCTACCTGTCACTCTGAATACCTTTGGAACAAGTATTAGAAAATACAAACACACAACGAGCATAGAAATAATATGCACATAAATAATTACTTCACAATTGATGTGTGGTTATAATTCCATAGTTTCATATATTATTTGCCTTGTATTTTATATGCTTTAATGATAAACTACACTTTAATTGTATGTAACGAAATCTATTTTATGTGTAGGTGAATTGGAGATGAAAGTAGAGAAGAAAGGATACTTACAAGTCGAAAGCGTGCGCGGGAGCAGTTGAATAGGAGAAGCTGGCGAAGCCAGGCTTGTAGCTGAAAATATAAATATAGTTTATTCTGAAAATAAATGCAAGCAAACATATAATTTAAAATGCACATTCTATCTAGCCATCGACAAAGGGAAGAAAACTTAACTCACCACGAGTTTTGAGCGTAGCTTCAACTTCTCGTGTCGTTTGGGCTAATCAAATTACCATTCACACTTCACCTTGAATAATCTGATTTGTAGCCTCACTTGATTTGCAAAGACTTGCATTATTTAAGTCCTTTAAAGCCTTTGGAGGATTTAGATGTATTTCACCCAAGACATCTTGTGAATTGCTACTGTATGAGCATCTTTTCACTATCCCTCAACTCTGCTTCAAGTATTTTCGTCATTTAAATCCAAAATACTTCATCTTAAATTTCACTTCTAGGTATCCAAATCTCAAAGAATAACCGAAATTGCAGAGAGAGGACATGAGTTACCCTTTAGAAACAATTAAAGGTAGTTTATGGATTTGGGATGGTTTGACACTTGATCACTGATGCCTTGCAGAACTTCACTGGAACAAACGCCCCTCCATTCATTCTAAATTTCTCTTAAGGTCGGAGTAGTTGGGCTTCACTCTATATTCTAATATATAAGGTCCAACCCTATGATTATATTTATTGGATGTAATATAATATCAGTGTTATCCATTCTAAAACTCTCTTGCACGTCTACTGCAAGGTTTCACAAAAAGTGTTGATGCACTTCTCTAATGACCAAGCGATTCTTGGTTATCAACAGAATATAGAAGTACTTACTTCTCATGGAGCCATCGTATATCTGGTGGGACTGCCCATTGTGACAGTATGTGTACATGTATGTCACGTCCCAAATTACCCCTAGACGTGACTGGTGCCCAGCTAACACCACCCGTCAGGCGAACCATACTTTCATACCTTAGCCATTAATTTACAGTATTTGATTAATTACAAGAGTATCCAAATATTCTGACAACTAAATTACGAATAATTAATATCTCAAAATATTATACTGAAATTCTAGCCCAAATCCCATACTAGACCATGGAACATCTAAGAGAATTACAATAAACATCATATGAATGAATAATAAAGACTATTTTGGCAGCCTTCACGAACAATGCGGTGGCTCACCTCAATAACTGAATCAACTCTAGCGAACTCATCAGCTACTAGCTCCGTCTTCACCAATAGTATCTGCATAGACATGCAGGTAAGGAGTGAATTATATGTAAATATAACCCTATAATTAAGATCCTCTACCCGTCACTCTAAATACCTTTGGAACAAGTATTAGAAAATACAAACACACAACGAGCACATAAATAATTATTTCACAATTGATGTGTGGTTATAATTCCATAGTTTCGTACATTATTTGCCTTGTATTTTATATGCTTTAATGGTAAACTACACTTTAATTGTGTGTAACGAAGTCTATTTTATGTGTAGGTGAATTGGAGATAAAAGTAGAGAAGAAAGGATACTTACAAGTCGAAAGCGTGCGCGGGAGCAGTTGAATAGGAGAAGCTGGTGAAGCCAAGATTGTAGCTGGCGAGATACCTGGCGACGTCAGGCTTGTAGCTGGCGAGATACCTGGCGATGTCAGGCTTGTACCTGGTGAGAGACCTGGCGAGGCGAGGCAGTAGGCGAGATCGAGCAGGCCTTATGCCTGGCAACGCCAGGCCTGGGGCGAGGTCCACCAGACGTTATGCCTCGCGAAGCCAGGGTTGGGCGTGCACATTCCGAACTTTGAAGACTTATTTCGTCTCCGGGTTTGACTAGGACTTGGCCTATACGTTTAGGTCTTTTCCTACACATATAAATAGACCTAAAAAACTCCACTTTTGAGTACTTTTGTAACTGGAAGCAAGGATAGCTCGTGGAACAACCGTTGGGAGTCAGACTCATCGATTTCTACATCTCTTTATCCTTACTTTGTAATTTAATTATGAAAAATACTTTGGATATTGTGATTATGAGTATGAGTAACTAAACTCATAAACTAGGGTTTTGATGGAACCTAGTGGAGGATGATTTTCCTGTTACGTTAATATAGATTTGCCGTAGTATTTTCTCTATTTGTTCAACTATATTATTATTGTTGTTGATTGAAGGGCCCTCAATTGACTGTGCCTATTTAGTGTGTATTACTCGGGAGAGAGTGTATATTTAGGTAGTTGTTGAACAACATCATTCCTAACGTATATGAGGGATCCATACGAAGGGTTTAAAGGTGGGATTAGGGATAACAAAATATTGGTGCGATCCGAGTGAGCCGTAATTAATGCCAGCTAGCGTAATTCGGGAGAATATGTCTAGTAAATTGTAGTAATTACTTGAGAGAGAGTTACGACAGTCAGAGTGCTCATGATCTATAGAGAAAGCTTAGGCAAATTTATAGAAAACGTAGCGGAAAAGATTCGGACAATAGGGGAAATCACAACCTTAGATCATTAATTGTTGCACTTTCATTACGTAATATTTAGTTAGTGAATATCCAAATTGTCACTTAAATATTTCTGAAGATTGATTGTGTGAGTTCGTGCGAGTCTAGTTGTTTGATAGGTTAATTCCATGTGGGATTCGACTCCGTACTTATTAGCCTAAATATATTTGCAACGACCGCTTAGTCCGTTTTATAAGTCATAGTTGGGCGTGATCAAATTTTGGCGCCGTTACCGGTGAATTAACGGTGTATTAATTGCAGCTAAAAGAATTGCTAGAATTCTTAGTATAGTCAATTTTCTTTATTTTAAACCAAATACATTGAAATTTTAACGTTTATAGTTTTGAGTGTTACAGGTGCATACCTAGGAACTCCTCGAGAACTGGTGAATTGTTCGAAGCATTATCAGGTCCTGAGAAAGTTTTCAAGGCATTGAATCGTGCAAACAAGAAGCACAAACAGCAACAGAACTCAACAGAACGAATCGAACTAGACATGGATGACATAATAGAAAATCCAAATAACAGAAATAATGTGAATGACCCGAACAATCAGGGTGTGGCGCCTCTTGTGCCAGAAGAAGCCTTGTATGATTGGGCACAACCCACAGCCAAAACTCTGACAACCGCAATTGTAGTCCCTCAAATACAAGCGGAATCATTTCAAATCACAAACAACATGCTACATTTGTTGCAGAACAAGGGACTGTTTTTAGGGTCTTACATTGAAGATCCTCAGCAGTATCTAAAAAATTTCATGTCGATATGTATCACACAAAGGCAACCTAATGTGAAACCGGAAGCAATAAAGTTGTTATTGTTTCCATTCTCAGTGACGGGAGAGGCTCAGACGTGGCTTAATTCACTCCCCATAAACTCCATCACTACTTGGGAGGAATTAATCAAGCAATTTGTAAACAAGTTCTACCCACCCAATAAGACTGCCAAACAAATTTATGAGATATTGAGCTTCAGGAAGAGACCAACAGAAACGTACAAGAAACGTGGGAGAGGTTCAAGGGTATGCTGGTTAAATATCCACATCATGGCATTCCAGAGCAAGTGTTGGGCCAGAGGTTCTACATGCGATTGGCAGACATCTTAAAGGCCAATGTTGATGCTTCAGCAGGTGGAGCATTTTTTAGCAAAACATTCAGAGAATGTAATATCTTACATGATAAGATGGCCCAAAACTCAGGATGGATGACAAGAGACTCTACAATCACTCCTATAGTTCATTCAGTGGCTTTGGACCCAAACAACTCCATAGCCGAAAATATGGCCACTCTAATGACGCAAATGAGTATTCTTACCAAAAAGGATCGATGAATCAGGCCAGAAGAAGCAGGTACACATAGTAGACGCAACTATTAGGGGCTTATGTACACCATGCATTAACCAACCATATGTTTGCTCGTGGAGTGCGGAAGGCGACAACCAGCACTATCAGGAAGATATGAACTATGTAGCCAACTATGGGGGGTAGAGGCAAGGTGGTCAGAATTGGGGGCAACATAATCAACAATATAGACCAGCACAAGAGCAGTACAATAACAGCAATAATCCTGGAGCTATGCTAGGTCAAGTGGTGCCTTACCAAAGGCAATAAGGTTACAACCAGCAAAATCAACAGCTAGCTTATCAACAACCTCAACAACAACAGATTATGAGACAAGATGATGGGTTCACTGAACTTAAGGGAATGCTGGACAGCAACAACAGAATGTTGCAACAACTGATTGGGTCCTCTAAAAAAATGCAAGACAGAGTAGACTCACATGAATCAGCGATAAAGGGTATTGAGGTTCAATTAGGATAGATTTCTATGGCTCTAAACAATCATCCCCAAGGGACGTTACCTACAGACACACAAATCAATCCAAAAGATCAGGTCCCGAAACAGCTTATGGCAGTGAGTCTATGAAATGGTAGAGACCTAGATTTGGAGCAAGAGATTGCCCGTGAAAGCCAACCTACTGAAACACTTGTGCCATTACCCATTGAGATCGATGATTCAACATAGTTAACTGAGGTGATGGTACAATATGCACAAGAGAGCACATGCAAAGAAAAAGAGGTTGCAAAGGAGACTGAGGTAGCACAAGAAACGACAGTAGAAGCAGCGCCTGAGTAAGAAAAAACTCAAATCACAAGAAAGAAGTGACCTCCAGCATCATTCCCGTAGAGATTAGCAAAATATCAGAAGGACGAGCAATATAATAAATTTATGGAGATGTTGAAACAAATACATGTGAACATTCCACTAAATGATGCGTTGCGAGATATGCCTGGGGATGCCAAAATGATGAAAGATTTAATGTCTCAGAAATTTGACTTCCAAGACCTATCCACTGTTACATTGACACAGACCCGTAGTGCAGTCGTGACGAGACCCATAGCTGAGAAGTTATCAGCCCTAGGGAGTTTCACAATCCCATGCATGATAGGAAGCTATGTTTTTGCTAAAGCATTGTGTGATTTAGGGGCAAGCATAAACTTGATGCCCTTGGCTATCTACAAAAGGTTAGGCATAGGAAGAGCTAGACCCACGTCCATGTTACTACAGCTAGCCGACCGCACAGTGAAGAGGCCCTCTCGTATCCTTGATGATGTATTAGTCCAGGTTGGGAAGTTTGTGTTCCCAGCAGATTTTGTCATTCTAGGCTGCCGGGTTGATGAGGAGATTCCCATAATTTTGGGAAGACCATTCTTGTCCACTGGGAGAGCTTTAATTGACTGTGAAACTGGTGAGCTCAAAATGAGACTACATGATGAAGAGATAACATTCAACGTGCAGAAATATGCGACCAAGTGAATTTGCTAATCGCTCTCTAATAGAAGCCGTGGATATAATTTTGGAGGAGGAATATGAGACCTTGAACGCTAAAGACCTTTTAGCAGCCTGTCTCTTGAACTTAAATGAGGTAAATGTAGAGGATTTGGCGGAGTGGGTGCTGGCTCTTGAAGGCCAAGGGTTTTGGAAAAGAGAGCTCGAGTTTGAGCCTTTAGAAAGAAAAATTCCTCCAGCTAAGCCATTGATAGAAGAGCCACCAAAGTTGGAATTAAAACCGCTACGACCTCACCTCAGGTATACTTTCTTGGGACCTAACTCAACTTTACATGTTGTTATCTCATCTGGTTTGTTAGATTTGCAGAAAGAACAGCTTTTGCAGGTATTGAGTGAGTGAAAAACTACAATTGGTTGGACCATTACAGACATTAAGGGGATCAGCCCGGCCTTCTGTATGCATAAGATTCTACTGGAATATGGCCACAAACCTTCCAGAGAACATCAAAGAAGGCTGAACCCCAACATGAAGGGAGTTGTGAAAAAGGAAGTGATAAAGTGGTTAGATGCGGAGATCATTTTCCCCATCTCCGACAGCAACTGGATCAGCCCAGTCCAATGTGTGCCTAAGAAAGGTGGGATGACTGTAGTGCAAAACGAGAACAGTTGATATCAACAAGAACAATCACGAGATGGCGAATTTGTATGGACTATAGAAGATTGAACAAGGCCACCTGAAAAGATCATTTTCCCTTGCCGTTCATTGATCAAATGCTAGATAGATTGGCCGGGAAGTCCCACTTTTGCTTTCTGGATGGATACTCGAGGTATAATCAAATCTCCATTGCCCCAGAAGATAGAGAGAAAACATCACTCACATGTCCATATGGCGTTTACGCCTTCCGGAGGATGCCGTTCGTCCTACGCAATGCACCTGCCACATTTCAAAGGTGCATGATGGCCATCTTCACGGATATGGTAGAGGACATCATGGATATATTTATGGATGATTTCTCAGTGGTGGGAGACTCATTCGATGATTGCCTAAGGAATTTGAAAAGAGTGTTGAAAAGATGTGTAGAGACTAATCTGATGCTCAATTAGGAAAAGTGACATTTCATGGTACATGAAGGTATAGTCTTGGGGCACCTAGTGTCGAGTAAGGGCATTGAGGTAGATCGTAAAAAGGTTGATATGATCGAAAAGCCTCCACCACCGACTTTTGTTAAAGTAATAAGAAGTTTCCTTGTCCACGCCAGGTTCTATAGACGGTTTATAAAAGATTTTTCAAAATTGCTAACCCCTTGTGTAAATTGCTTAAAAAAGATCACCCTTTTGTGTTCTCTGATGACTGCAGGGTGGCTTTTGAGGAATTGAAGAAGCGGCTGGTGACAGCACCTATCATAGTTGCACCTGACTGGGAGCAACCATTTGAGCTGATGTGTGATGCAAGCGATTATGCTGTGGGATCAGTACTTGGGCAGCGCAAAGATAAAGCCATGCATCCAATATATTACGCAAGTAGAACTTTGAGTGGTGCATAACTAAATTACACAGTTACCGAGAAGGAGATGCTAGCAGTGGTGTTCGCATTTGACAAATTTAGGTCATACTTGATAGGCTCGAAGGTAATTGTTTATACTGACCATGCTGCTCTCAGGTACCTAATTGATAAGAAGGAGTCAAAGTTGCGCCTGATTCGATGGGTGGTACTGCTGCAAGAATTTGACTTGGAAATCTGTGACCGAAAGGGAATGGAAAACGAAGTGGCTAATCACCAATCTAGGATGGAAAGAGCCGAAAAGAAGGTTGAGGGGGAAAAGATTGTAGAGACTTTCCCGGATGAACAACTACTAGCCACGAGCCTTGAGGTAGCGCCATGGTATGCAGACATTGAAAACTACCTGGCAAGCGGTATTGCTCCCTAGGACCTTTCCTCTATTCAAAATAAAAAGTTCTTTCATGACTGTGGCATGTATTATTGGGATAAACCTTATCTGTTCAGGATTTGTGTTGATAACATGATTCGGAGATGTATCCCCGAGATCGACCAATCTTTTATTTTGCAGGCTTGTCACGCGTCACCATATAGTGGCCACTTCGGGGGAGTAAAGACATNTATGAACCCATTTCAGGAGGTAGAAGTGTTTGATGTATGGGGAATCGATTTCATGGGGCCTTTCATCCGCTCATATGGCAACAAGTACATACTCGTAGTTGTGGACTACGTGTCCAAATGGATGGAGGCTGCAGCGCTCCCTACAAATGATGCAAAGGGGGTAATTAGTTTTTTTAGAAAGAACATATTCACCCGATTTGGCACTCCAAGGGCAATAATCAGTGACGGAGGCACTCACTTCTGTAATCGAGCCTTAGCAAAGTTGTTAGAAAAGTATGAGGTACGCCATAAGGTTGCCACCCCATATCATCCACAAACGAGTGGGCAAGTGGAAGTTTTGAACTGAGAAATAAAGAGTGCTTTGACAAAGACTTTGAATGCTACAAGAACGGATTGGGAGAGAAAGTTAGATGATGCATTCTGGGCCTATCGTACCTCTTTCAAAACTCCGATCGGCATATCGCCGTACAAATTGGTGTTTGGGAAGGCATGTCACATACCAGTGGAGTTGGAGCATAGAGCTTGGTAGGCATTGAGGCAGCTAAATCTTGATATAGAAGTTTCAGGCACAAGTAGAGTCACAGAATTGCACGAGCTTGATGAGTTTCGCTACCACACTTTTGAGAGCACAAGGCTATACAAGGAGAGAATGAAGATGATGAAATGACAAAAATATTCTTGAGCGGAGTTTTAAACCCGGAGATATGGTATTGCTATACAATTCAAGATTGAGGTTATTTCCAGGAAAATTAAAGTCAAGATGGCCAGGAACATTTCATGTGGTAGAGATTCACCCCACTGGTGCTGTAGAGATTGCTGCGTAAAATGACTCTCGCACGTTTAGAGTCAATGGGCACAGGTTAAAACATTATTTGGGCATGGATGATACGAAAGTAGTATCGGTGACTCATTTTCTCGAGCCACCAAGGTTAAGCGAGCCTTATGTGCAATTACCTGCGTCGTACCGCGATGTTAAATCAGGCGCTTCATGGGAGATAACCCATTGTAATGTTTTAATGTTATATTTGTCGTGCCTCGACGATAACTAAGGCGCTCGTTGGGAGGCAACCCAATTCGTAGTTGATTTTTAGTGTAGTTAGAATTTTTTTTTTTGTTTTTAGGTACTAACAAGTTTGCAGGTGATTTTGGGCAAGTCGAGCAGGGCATTAAGCGGCACATGAAGAAGACCAAGCGAGGGAGCTCGCCTCGCAAGGCTTGAGGCGAAGTGGAGCTAGCGAAATACTTGCCTCGCGTTGGTTGAGGCCTGGAGCAGCAGGCGTTACGCCAGGCGTCGCATGGGTTGGGGCCAAAAGAACCGCGAGCTTAGACTCACGCCACGTGATCATAGGCTGGCTTTAGAACTGGCCTCGCGAGGTCTTACACGAGTAAATGAGCGAGCGTCGCCAGGTAAGTTTCTTTTTCATTAACCCGAAACCAAACACACATAAAACTCCAATGAAAAATCCCAAACTCATACTGCTCACCAGCACTGCTCACAAACAAACGCACTGAACAAAATTTCCCCCACCAACACATTGCTATTGTTGGCTCTCCCATCCCCATTGAAGTCAAGCTTAGTCCTGCTATTTTGTTCACACTCACCAGTGAATTTTTAGGCAGATCCTTCCTCTCACAAGCTTCTAAGGTATGATTCTTATCTCTTTCCCTTGCAATTTCGAGTTGGGTCAAGGTATGCAATTACACACAAAATTTGGTGGTTGTTCTTCATTGTAGTATCGTGTTTGTGTGTCCCAACCCTATGAACCCCATAGGAATGGTGCTGCGATTGTATGAACATGTGGTAGTACGGAACTCCCAAGTCTATTTGGGAGGGTGAGGCAATCCCTCACCCCCTATAAGCACTCCCATGGTACTAGTTGCATGCTAAGTGTTTTCTATAATGCCTCAATGGCATTCCTTGTCCTCATTGGAGCCCAAGTCTCCGGGATTAATAGACTAGTGTTATGTAGTCGTGCACCACGTTAAAATCTTAAGTGTGGGGTGGCTCAAGGGAAGCCTATGTGTTGTTGTTTGATTCTAATATTAAGAAAATATGAGGTGAAGTCTGAGCAACCTTGGAAAGTTGGGCAAGACTATGTGTGTAATGTGTAATACAGTTTTAACTGATTACTGATTACTTGTGTAGGAACGAAGATGCCTCCGAGAAAAGACACATGCAAAGAAAAGGCTACTTCCACTGCTCCGGCTAAAGCAAAGGCGACCTCCGCACCTCCCCCAAAGAAGAGAAAAGGGGGAGAAGTTACCTCCAGTCTAAGTGGAGCACAAGTTGTGGCAGCAGTAGCAGCCATGAGTCCACAACCCCAAGGCCAACGGGAGTTTGGCATCAACAGCATACCCCCGCATACTAATGATTGGTACAGGTGTTGTAGACCTAAACATGTACACCCGGAAGCAGCTGTCCATGAACGCAGCTTGAAAGCAAAGTATTAGGCAATTTGGAGGGGCATTCAGGATTTGGGGTTGAGCTATGTATTCAAGAACATAGGGGACATTAATCTCAATCTAGTCTAGGAATTCTATGCATGGTTTGATCAGCAGAATACTGAACAGCTGGTGCCGATTCGTGGATGATTGATAGATTTTTCAGCCACGGCCATATGTAACTTTTTAGGTACTCCGGATGTTCCTGTGGAGCCATTGGACCACTTCATTCGCCGACCTACATATAGAGAGTTGAGACACACGCTTTATGGTGTCGATACTACGGCAGCATGGGTCCGGGATAAGAACAAGAATCAGCATAAGAGGTTTCCCAAGAAGAAAATGAGGGCGGAGGCTCAAGTGTGGCTTAAACTGATAAATGCACGGCTCCTACCGTGCAATCATGACACGCTCATTAGCCGTGAGAGGAACTGTGTGCTCTACTTACTCATGACGGGTCAAAGGATGAATGTGGATCATCTGATCCGCTACCAGATGTCTTTAGTCAGAACGAGTAAGAAGGTCGATTGAATGCCATTTGCCAATTTTTTAACTCAGTTCTTAAGACACGAGGAGGTTACGGAGGAGCTAGAGTTTGACCACATCATCGATCAGCCCCTACGGCAAACGGACATCACTAGTCTCCGGCTGAAAGAAGAGACTGTCATAACATCTTTGACAGGTGCCGAGCGCAACGCTCGTGATGATAGTTTTATGGCCCATCTCTATGGGATGATGGATTTGCAGCTGAGGATAAGGGGTCGGCCGGCCACATCTGAGGAGAGGACCTTATTGGAGTAGCGGTACTCGCTCAATGCTCATGTCCGGCAGCTGGTTGGGATAGGTGATGGCTACAGACTCTCCGATGATGAGGATATCAACAAACCTGAGCAGTTTGAGGCTGAGCCAGAGCAGTCAGATGATGAGGACGATGATGATGAGGAGGAAGAAGCGCAGGATGAAGAGTGGAGAGCCTCAGAGGATGAGGACGCAGTTTGATCAGGGAGTTTCCTTGCACCCTACTCATTTTTCTTGTTTTGTCAATTTGTGCATGCACTGAGGATAATGCATGATCTAAGTGTGGGGTGAAAACTTGTAAAAATTACTTGTAGTTGCTTGTTTTTGTTATTTTAGTAAGTGTCGTTTTCGTTAGATAATTGTTTTAGTTATTTGTTTTAAGAATTTGTTTTAGTGAATTGTGTTTGTTATTTTTTTTAGTTATATATATATATATATATATATATATATATATACACACACACACACACACACACACACACACACACACACACAAACTGGACTCTTCACGATGATGGATCTCCTAGACAGTTTTTTTGAGGGAAGTAAGTCTAGAGAAAAATACCAAAAAAAAAACATTTTTAGGTAGTGTAGTAATTCCCCCTTGGTTTTTCTTTGAGCCGCGATTCTTTTCTAATAGTTTTTAGTTGAACTGGGTAGAGTTAGTTTTAATTTTTAGGAGTAGGAATCACGGGGCTATGCATTTAATGGCAGCAATATCTCTTAGCTTTGTTATACCTTGACAATAGCTAGTACTACAGTTGTGATGCTTAGGCTCGGGGTTCGACTCTAGTATAAGTACCTTAAATTGTAGATTCTTAATTTTGCTTAACTGTTTTGACTGGAGTGTCGTGGTAAAACCAATCCTGAGTGAATTGTGTGCCATGTCTGTGTGAGGTTTGTATGTATTCTGTGCATTGCATTTGATAGCTAGAACTTGCCCTGTGTGTGTGCAAAGTGAAATAGTAGTTTTGTTCAGTCTGAGAAGTGATATAGGCATTTCTTTGTTAAGCTAGATATATATAGTTTACCCACCTAAAAGTTATGTATCATAGTTAACCCTTTTGAGCCTATAATCATATTTCTTTGGTAACCACATTACAAGTCGTACCCCTTTGTTTGAATCGACCATATATTCGAACCTTGTCACCTCTCATGAGCACTTGAATTGTGATAAAGTATGAAAAAGTTAAAGTGTGGGGTGGTGAGTTGGCTTTTGAGTGGAATAATTGAAATAAGGAGAAATGTGCATTTTCTCGAAAAAAAGTGAAAAAAAATGATAATAGCTGTATTGTATGAAAAATAATTCTTGATGTTGGTGGCTAGTGATATAATGGTGCTTAAAGAAGTAGGGGGTAATATAAAGTGAAGTTAAGATGGAGTTTTAGTTTGACATAAGTATGGGCTTGAATGTTAAAGTGTATGTATTAAAGTGCTTAAGGGAGGTGTAGTCACTTATATCCAAATGTATCATACCCGACCCGCAGCCTACATTACAACCAATCAAAGTACTGCTTGATCTTAGACTGAATGAATTCGATTAGTAGAGTATTACACTACGGGCAAGCCTATGGTGCATTATTTGTGGCATGTGAATGTTATTTCTGAGAGCGAGTGAATTTTTTGCCTATCTTGAGTTCCTACGCTCTTAAAATTCATTGTGTGTGGAACTGAGCTTTTTGTTGGGTGAGGGCACGTGATTCATAAAGGAAAGATAATGTCGTTGACCTCCATGTTAGAGTAAGTAAGTGAATTGTGAACAAGTCATGGTATTTGTGAGTCAAATCTTGAGGCGAGGATGTTACACCTTAGTGCTTAGATTATTTTAAATATTCTTGGTGTAATGAGTTATGGGAATTGCTTCGTGAGGTTGAGCCTGTAAGTGTGGTTTGATTGCGCGAGGACGCACAATGTTTAAGTGGGGGGTATTGATGTGTGGCTATAATTCCATAGTTTCGTACATTATTTGCCTTGCATTTTATATGCTTTAATGATAAACTACACTTTAATTGTGCGTAACTGAGTCTATTTTATGTGTGGGTGAATTGGAGATGGAAGTAGAGAAAAAAGGGTACTTACAAGTCGAAAGCGTGCGCGGGAGCAGTTGAATAGGAGATGCTGGTGAAGCCAGACTTGTAGCTGGCGAGATACCTGGCGACGCCAGGCTTGTAGCTGGCGAGAGACCTGGCGAGGCGAGGCAGTAGGCGAGATCGAGCAGACCTTATACCTGGCGACGCCAGGCCGGGGGCGAGGTCCACTAGGCGTTATGCCTCGCGAGGCGAGGTCTGAGCGTGCACATTCCAAGCTTTGAAGACTTATTTCGTCTGGCCTACACGTTTAGGTCTTTTCCTACGTATATAAATAGACCTAATATAATACTCAACAAAGTTTAAACCAATATTTAACATGAAACACTTTATATCTCAACACAATTCACACTAAGGACTTGTCATAAACAACAGTGTAGAAAATAAATTGTGGGCTGCTAGTCTAGTTAATTGTTCATGATTAAATAGGACTTAGATATTTACCTTATTAAATTAAAAGACTACACATGTGCCTTGCTGCTAGTCCTCTAAGCACAATGTTGGCTTACCCAAATTCAATCATTTATGTATAAATATAACCATTATATATTCTGCTACCGTTTTTAATAAGTTATTATATCATAATTCAACCACACATATGCTGCTCAAATTTCCAACATCACAAGCAACTGCATTATCCTCATAAAATGGTTTGACTCATTAGTCATTAACATGTCTCAAGATCAAATTCTAAAAGTTCACGGGATTTACGTTGTACACCTTCACAATTCTCCAAAAAAAAAAAAAAAAAAAAAAAAAAAAACAACTCATGTGCCCAGTTCAGAACCTAAATGGGGACGTAATACTTAACGAATTTTTTTCTGGGGCGTTACAGGTATGACCTAAAGTTTAATGCATAACAGATTAGACTTTCGTATACCTGAAGGCTTAATTAAAGTAAAGTATCGCTTCACAAACAATAGTAAATAATATTGTATTTTTAAGTGAGTTTACAGCTTAAATCACATAACGCGGTTCTAAAGTACTTAATTAATTCCATCTTGTCCTCGTATATTATATAAAAATGTTATTAATGACTTGGTTCGAATTATATATTAGATGATTTTTATTTTAAGGGGACAAGAGGGGTTGCTCTGATGGTAAGCAACCTCCACTTCCAACCAAGAGGTTGTGAGTTCGAGTCACCCCAAGAACAAAGTGGGGGGTTCTTGGAGGGAAGGATGCCGAGTTTCTATTGGAAACAGCCTCTCGGGGTAAGGTTTGCGTACACACTATCCTCCTCCCCAGACCTTACTAGTGGAATTATACTGGGTGGTGGTGGTGGTGGTGGTGGTGGTTGTTGTTGTTGTTTTAAGGAAAGATTATTAACTTCGTACTGTATACATATTCAACAGTGTACTGTATACATATTTTCAACTAGTTGTTCAAAATAGAGGAGGGCGTATAATTTATTTTTCATTATTCATTTTACTATTCACGCATTAGACATTTTACATACGAGACTTCTCCAGTTCACAATAAACCATTGCATAAGAAAACTTCAAAATTTGCATTTAAGTATAGCATATGTCATGTAGCAGTATAATTAATTCATAACTAATGGTTGCGCATATTTGAATTTTAAAGTATACTGCACATGCCATGGCAGTAATTTAAATTATGTGACAACGAAAGGAAACCACTTATTAATCAAGAGACTTGACAATTTTAGAATTCTGATTATGAAGAGAGAGGCTGACAAAGTTCCATTTTTTCCCTGTAGAATACCATAAATATTGGTTGTGGCTGAGCACTATATTAAAATTCATTTGATGAATTTCTCTCCATTGCCCCTTAGATTACTGACATCTGTCACCAATTAGACTTAATGGACAAGATTTCTTCTCTCATTTAATCCCCAGGAGCTTTTCAAAAACCAAGTTGCATGATGATTAATCTCAATTACTGAGGAGCAATGTTGAGTAAAACACAGTTTACAGAGAAGTTACTCTCAAAATTAAATTTTCCAATTAAATAATAAAGCAAAACCAAGATTGATCTAAGTTCAACGCAGTAAGAATTATTTGGAAAAAAGAAGATAAAATCCTTCAGTCAGACATGTTAATCGGAAGAACAATTGTTTTGACAATTAATGAACATGTTGTGTCCTAGAAATATAGGATTCGGTAATAATTTTTTCATTATTTATTTTAGTTTAATCAGGCATTGAATCTTTTACATATACAGATAAAACTATTCACAATAAATGAACATACATAATTATTTTTTGAAAATTTCATTAAAGCATATCACATGTTCTGTAAAAGTAATTCCTCAATTCACAATAAATGAATGCCTAAAAAGCGTATGTCACATGTCATGTAGGACAATTTATGATTTATAATCATCTTTTAATGGAAATGTTATCAATTATTACTCAAGAGTGAAATATTCTTGAACGACGATATGAAGAGGGTGATCAATGCCATACTATAGGAGTTCCTTTTAAAGAATTATTTGATAGAAACAATGATATATTTATAAAATTTTAAGTAGTAATTGTTATATATAGCATTGCATATGATCGGGTGATCCTTCTTGTATATATACAACAACCAACAACCCAATAAAATCTTATTAATGGGGTCTGGGGAGGGTAGTGTGTACGCAGACCCTTACCCCTACCCCGAAAAAGTAGAGAGGATGTTTCCGAAAGACCCTCGGCTCAAGAAAACAAAAAGACAAAAGGACAAAATGAGACAATATTAGTATCACCAGAGCAATCGTAGGAAAAATAGGAACACCATGAAATCCAGAAAAAAGATGCAAAGCAAAGGGAGACAATATTAGTATCACCACAACAATCATAAGAAAAATAGAAACACCATGAAATCCAGAAGAAAGATGCAAAGCAAAAGTAATAGCTAGTAAATAGGACCTGCACTGAAAAGCGAAATAGTAAGACACAACATTGCCACTAGCTATCTTAGACAAAAACACTACATGGCTAGTCCCAGAATGGTACGAAGTAGGGCACGACTCAACTAGCTCCTAATCTACAACCTTAATACTCGATCTCCACATCTTCCTATCAAGTGTCATATCCTCGAAAATCTGGAGACTCGCCATATCCTGCATGATCACTTCTCCCCAATACTTGTTAGACCGTCATCTACCTCTTCTCGTGCCCTCCACAACTAGCCGCTCACACCTTCATACCGGAGTATCTGGGCTTCTCCTCTAAATATGTCTGAACCACCTAAGCCTCGCTTCCCGCATCTTGTCATCAATGGGAGCTACGTGCACCTTCTCCCGAATATCATCATTCCTAATCTTATTTATCCTAGTGTGCCGCACATCCACCGTAACATCCTCATTTCTGCTACTTTCATCTTCTGGATATGTGAGTTCTTAACGGGCCAACACTCAGCCCCATACATCATGTTCGGTCTAACCATCGCTTTATAGAACTTACATTCGAGTATCGGTGGCACTCTCTTGTCACACAAGACTACAGATGCTAACCTCCACTTCATCCATCCTACCTTAATACGGTGTGTGACATCATCGTCGATCTCCCCTCCCCCCTGGATAACCGAACCAAGGTACGTGAAACTTCCTCTACTCGGGATGACCTGCGAATCAAGTCTCACATCCACGCCCACTTCCCCTCGCTCAGCGCTGAACTTACACTCCAGGTATTCCGTTTTTGTCCTACTCAGCTTAAAACTCTTAGACTCAAGAGCTTGTCTCCAAACCTCCAGCCTCTCATTAACATCGGCTCGCGACTCATCAATCAGAACTATGTCATCGGCGAATAGCATGCACTATGGCACCTCCCCTTGAATATGGTGTGTTAACGAGTCTATCACCAGGGCGAATAAGAACGGACTGAGCGCAGAACCTTGGTGTAACCCCATTACAATCGAAAAATGCTCAGAGTCGCCTCCTACTGTCCTAACCCGAGTCTTAACCCTATTATACATGTCCTTAATCACCATAATGTAGGGAACCGACACACCTTTTGCCTCCAGGCATCTCCAGAGAACTTCTCTAGGAACCTTGTTATACGCTTTCTCTAGGTCAATAAATACCATGTGCAGATCCTTCTTCCTCTCTCTGTACAGTTCCACCAACCTCCTGACAAGGTGTATAGCTTCTATAGTCGAACGACCCGGCATGAACCCGAACTGGTTGTCGAATACAGACAATGTCATCCTCACCCTCACTTTAACCATCCTCTCCCACACTTTTACGGTATGACTTAGTAATTTGATACCCCTATAATTGTTACAACTCTGGATATCACCTTTGTTCTTATACAATGGAACCACCGTAATCCACCTCCACCCATCTGACATCCTCTTAGCCTTGAAAATAATATTAAACAACCTAGTCAACCACTCCAAACCTGCTCTCCTCACCCACTTTCAAAATTCCACCGGAATCTCGTCTGGCCCGGTCGCTCTACCCCTACTCATCTTACGCATAGCTCCCACGACCTCCTCAACCTCGATATGCCTGCAGTACTCAAAGTCACGGTGACTCTCGGAATACTCCAACTCACCTAGCACAATATCCCGATCCCCTTCTTCATTCAAAAATTTATCAAAGTAAGTCTGTCATCTCCTCTTAATCTGGACATCTTCCATCAATACTCTACCATCTTCGTCCTTGATACATCTCACTTGGTTCAAATCCCGAGCCTTCTTGTATATATAGTTCCATTTAAACCTTCTTAGTAATATAGTAGCATTGCATAGGGTGACCCTTTTATAACATTTTGAGGGGACACGCACCTAAAACGTTAATTGACGAAGAAACAAAAAGATATGGGGCTATAATTTTCTTCTCATTATTTACTTCGTTAGTATATATGGATCTCACTATAAGTTAAGATTTGTAGTTCTTCAATTCCATATTTCTAGTAGAGGCGAATCTAGAATTTTTAGAATATGAGTGTGCCACTGAAAAAGCAAGAAAAAAATAAGTAATAAACGAAAATCGATCAATGTTCCTTTGGATAAATAACTCAAGATTCAGCCAAATGCATCATTCAATCATTTTGGAACGTGGGGCCAACACATAATATTAGGTCAATTTTACGAAATATATACATAAAATACTTAGTTTGACAGAAAGACCATGTGTTCACGTGCACCGTAAAAATAACCTAAGTCCGCCCCTGAATTTTCCAGTAATGTACCATTGTACTAGCACCTCAAATTTAATCTGCCACTGCTCTTTGTACCACACCTTTAAGCATAATATGAATAAAACAATTTTTGGAAGAAAAAAAACGAGCAGTTTACGGAAGGAAGGATATACTATATGTTTGCTTATAAATAGAGATGAACTCTTACCAGCTCATTCACCTATACTTTTACGCAGTCTACTCATAAGCATTGTTTGCTTTCTGCTTCTAAAACCTCCTATCTTTTTTTTAAGAAGAACAAGATTCTTGATATAACATCAATATTCAAGCCCTTTTTGCAAGATGTCAACCTTTCTGTTGGCTTTGTTATCATCTCTAGCAATATTGTGTACAACTATTCTTGGCTTTGTTATCATCTCTAGCAATAATTAATTACTACTACTATTTACTTTTTTTATTCATTTACTTTTTGTCTTTAACTTAATTAAGTCACCAGATTAAACCATTAAATAATCTGCTTTGCATTGCTTACACTGGAAAATTTGGTATTTTTAGGGAGGCGCTTGGTGTCAAAGTATACCAGATTGCCTTAGTTGTTCAACTACGGAATTAGGTTCTTCTAAGCAGATGAAGAATGGATCTCGGTTTGCTGGGATACTTTATAATAATCCCCAAAATAATCCAGGTTAATTAAGCTCAGTACTATTATCTTACTTTGTTTCTTTTCTCTTTATATGCATACATATTTACACACTTCTTCTAACGTTAAGAAAAATTGGAATGGTAAGACTTTTACAACTGGAATAGGGTGAGGGTGAAGTATTGTGATGGTTCATCTTTCAGTGCTGATAACGAACAAGTTGACCCTGTAAGTAATATTATGTCATATATATTGATAAACATCGCTGAATAATTTGGTGATTAATATATCCCGTAATGTATACGATCAAAACCGGTTTTGCCCTTTATGTATTTAGTCGAGATTGGAACATGATGGATCGAGGGTCGTCATCATAATATCGAGATGAGATCTGAAGTCAGGTTATCAAGCTCAAGATTCAAGGACCGATCAATATCAAGCTCGAGCCAATATCAAACTCGAGTCAATATTGAGCTCGAGATCCAGAGATCGACCAATACCAAAACCGGCCAAGATCGAGCTAAGAGACAAAGAGTCGTTGTAGCCGCACCAGGGGAGAGAATCTCGGCGGAAATTAAGGAAAAGCTAATTAACTAATATATCATAGGATCCCCACTATGTATTTTTAATTATATCCAAAGTAGGATTCCTCCACTATATAACGAGTGGCTATCATTTCTGTAAGGGATCGGACATTCAACATTCAGACATCAATATACTCTCACATTTCAGAAGTTATTGAGATTTACACAAATATAGTAAACATTATCCTTCTTTGAGGCTTAGGACATTGGTTCATCTTGCTTGTTTATAAATTATTTTCTAGTTAATTTGGTTTGTATTTCATTCATTTTTTACAGTCAATATTCGATATATTTCTACTTGCTTTTCCGATTTGTACCAAGTTATACTTTGTATCCTTAGAACTACGTATAAATTCAACTCTATCCGTTTTTCGGTTAAACAGTTTGGCGCCCACCGTGGGGCTAAGGATAATAGTGGTTATTTGGTACGAATCTCTGCAAAACACACCATTTTACACTTGCTCTTGGAAGTGTCTATGATTTCAGGTTAAAAACAACGAACTCTCAATTAATGGCCCTACCTATTGACAATGAAGATGGCCTTCAAGACGAGAACAACAACCTGACGACCGGGAATGAAAGGCCACTCGTCGATCCCGTTGGAACTCGGGCCGCAGATCCAATCGACGTCAATTCACATGTGGCCATCGAGGCGAACCAACGTTCCGACCCCGAAAACAGCATCCATGGTGGAACTCGACCTGCAGTTCGAAAGACCTAAAATATTGGAGAAGACGGGATCAGCCTATGTATGATATTCGAAATGTTATAACCTCAGCAGGTAGCAATAGCTCAGTTGCAGAGCCAAACCCAGGCACCGAGCAGGGCCGAGCCCGGTCTATCTTGAGAAATCACCCAAGAAACGGGGCCAATTGAAGTAAGATCAAATGAACAAGAATCGGGGATTAATCCCTAAATTATTAAGATGTTAGAAGAACAGACAAAACGAATTGAGTCAGGAGAAAAGAGGATTGAAGCACACGACAAAAAAGTAGAAACTTATAACTCCAGGGTTGATCAGATCCCAGGGGCACCACCGGTATTGAAGGGCTTGGATTCCAAAAGATTCATATAAAAGTCTTTCCCCCCGAGCGCGGATCCTAAACCGATCCCCAAGAAGTTTCGCATGCCCGAAATTCCCAAATATAATGGAACGACCGACCCCAACGAACATGTCACCTCTTACACATGTGCCATTAAAGGGAACGATCTAGAATACGACGAGATCGAATCCGTACTATTGAAGAAGTTCGGGGAAACCCTGTCAAAGGGGGCAATGATATGGCATTATAATTTACCGCCTAACTCTATCGATTCTTTTGCTATGCTTGCAGATTCTTTCGTAAAAGCACACGCCGGAGCCATAAAGGTCGAGACCAGGATGTCGGACCTTTTCAAGGTAAAGCAAAAACATAGCGAGATGCTAAGAGAGTTCGTATCTTATTTTCAAATAGAACGAATGGATCTACCACCGGTCACAGATGATTGGGTTGTACAAGCTTTCACTCAATGACTGAACGAATGAATCTCGATGGCTTCATGATAGTTGAAGCAGAATTTGGTCGAGTACCCGGCTGTTACCTGGGCCGATGTGCACAATCAATATCAATCGAAGATCAGAGTTGAAGACGACCAGTTGGGTTCTGGGTCCGCTATTAAAAGGGACGTCGACCGAGAAACAAGGTCGAACAAGGACCGATATAGGCCGTATAATGGAGATCGTAGGGGTAGCAAACCTACACGCAACTCCGTACGAGGCGAAAGGAGAAGTGATCGAGGCCAAGGGTCTCGGGGGCTGATGAACAAGAATGGGTTCTACAGGCATATTGGACCCAAGGAAGCACCACGGTTATTAGAATATAACTTCAACATCGATGCATCCGCCATCGTGTCGGCTATCGGAACTGAAGACTGCAGGCAGTTGAGAGAGGAGGTAGCTTGTTTATTCAATGAAGGGCACCTTCGAGAATTTTTAAGTGACCGGGCCAAACACCATTTCAAAAATAGAGATTTCAATAGACAAAACGAACAAGAAGAGACACAGTACATCATCCACATGATCATCGGAGGGATCGACATCCCCCAGGGACCGGTGCTTAAACGCACTAAGATGTCTATTTTAAGAGAAAAGTAATCTCGTACTCAGGATTACACACCTAAAGGAACCTTGTCCTTTAGTGACGAAGACGCGAAATGAATCATGCAACCCCATAACGATGCACTAGTAATATCTGTACTTATGAATAAAACTCAAGTTAAACGTGTGTTAATTGATCCAGGTAGTTCGGCCAACATCATTCGATCAAGGGAGGTAGAGCAACTCGGTCTACAGGACCATGTCGTACCCGCTACCCTGGTACTGAACGGATTTAATATGGCATGTGAAACTACTAAGAGCGAGATAATCTTGCCAGTAAATGTGGCCAGGACCATCCAGGAAACAAAGTTCCACATAATCGAGGGCGATATGAGATATAACGCCCTGTTCGGGAGGCCATGGATCTACAACATGAGAGTAGTACCCTCGACCCTTCACCAGGTTCTGAAATTCCCAACATCGAAGGGAATCAAAATAGTCTATGGGAAACAACCAGCCGCAAAAGAGATGTTTCCTGTCGATGAAGTGATTCCGATATCTTCACTATCATCGACAAAAGGATCAGATTCAAAGGAGGAACAGGATACCAAATAGCAATCACAAACGTCAGCCTCGACCCAACTAGAGAATCAGAAGACTGATGAAAACGATGACTATAGGGTCCCTCGATCCTTTATGGTCCCCGATGATACCGACGCTACCCAGTCAACGGTCGAAGAACTGGAGCATGTCACATTAATCGAACATCTTCCCAAGCGAAAGGTATACCTAGGCACGAGTTTAGATCCCAAGCTCAAGAAAACGTTTATTCAATTTCTTATAGCTAACATGAACTATTTCTCTTAGTCCCATCTTGACATAACAGGGATCCCACCAGAAATAGCCACTCATAGACTGAGCTTGGATCTAAAATTCCATCCGGTAAAGAAAAAGAGAAGGCCCCAGTCCGAGATCAAATATGCCTTCATCAAGGACGAGGTAACCAAATTTCTTAAAATAGGATCCATTCGAGAAGTTAAATACCCCGAATGGCTAGCAAATATGGTGGTAGTCCCTAAGAAAGGAAACAAACTTAGAATGTGTATAGATTATAAAGACTTGAACAAAGCATGCCCTAAGGATTCCTTTCCTTTGCCTAGCGCCGATCGTATGATCGATGCCATGGCCGGCCACGAGATTCTCAGTTTTCTCGATGCCTACTCTGGGTACAACCAAATACAAATGAACCCGGAGGATCAGGAAAAGACCTCATTTGTCACTAAGTACGGTACCTATTGTTATAACATAATGCCATTCGGTCTAAAAAATGTTGGTGCAACTTATCAACGCCTAGTAAATCGAATGTTTGAAAAATAAATAGGAAAATCAATGGAAGTTTATATTGACGACATGTTAGTTAAGTCCCTATGAGCAGAGGACTATTTAAAGTATTTGCAGGAAACTTTCAACGTACTAAAGAAGTACAATATGAAGCTCAACCCCGAAAAATGTGCATTCGGGGTTGGCTCGGGCAAGTTTCTTGGTTTCATGGTATCCAACCGAGGAATCGAGATCAACCTCGATAAAATCAAAGCTATCGAGGACATCACAATAGTAGATAATGTGAAGGCCGTACAAAGGTTAACGGGGAGGATAGACGCCTTGGGACGATTCATTTCGATATCCTCGGATAGGAGCCACCGATTTTTCTCACTACTTAAGAAGAAAAGCAACTTTGCATGGACTCCGGAATGGCAGTAGGCTTTGGAAGAACTAAAGCGGTATTTATCGAACCCGCCTCTGTTTCATACCCTGAAAGTGGATGAACAACTTTACTTGTATTTAGCTATCTCGGAGATAGCGGTAAGTGGAGTCCTGGTTCGAGAAGAACGAGGTACGCAATTCCCTATTTATTATGTCAGTCGGACCTTAGGTGAGGCCGAATCTAGATATTCACACTTAGAAAAATTAGCGCTTGCTTTAATAAGCACCTCTAGGAAATTAAAACCATATTTCCAATCTCATCTGATACATGTTGTAACAACTTATCATCTTTGAAACAATTTGTGCAAACCCGAGCTTTTGGGTCGATTGGCCAAATGGGCCATAGAAATCAGTGGATACGATATCGAGTATCGACCCCGAACCGCTATCAAATCTCAAATCTTGGCGGACTTCGTGGCTGACATTTCACCGGCCCTCGTACCCGAGATCGAAAAAGATCTACTGATAAAATCGGGTATCTCTTCGGGAGACTGGACCCTTTTCACGAACGGTGCATCGAACGCGAAGCGGTCCGTATTAGGCATTGTGCTAAAATCACCCATAGGTAATGTAATTAGACAATCTATCAGAACTACAAAATTGACTAACAATGAGGCCGAGTATGAGGCCATGATTGCAGGTCTCAAACTAGCTAGAAGCTTAGGAGCGGAGATCGTAGAGGCTAAGTGTGATTCCCTCCTCGTGGTAAACCAAGTTAAAGGGACTTTTGAAGTCCGAGAAAATCGAATGCAAAGGTACTTGGATAAATTACAAGTGACTCTACATCAATTTAAAGAATGGAC